TAGCTCTTTGGGCAGTCATTTCAAGCAGATATGATACGTTATGAACCTGAACTAGGATTGTTTTATTGGTGATCTTGTTCGAGTCTTTTTGAGGATCAGCTTCTGAACCTCCCATTATCAACAAATTAATGATCTCCAACAAACTGATTATTTTGATTGTCTACTGGCATGTTGTTTGTTTCATGGAGAACAACAAATCACCAGTAAGCTTGTGATACCATGTGAAAGAATCAACAGGAAACAAAGCTATAAAAATTTGAGTATCTGACCTTATGTTGAGTGAAACGGTAAGTACTTCCTCTTATTTTCAAGAGTGATATTAATGGGTCAAAGCCAATAGTCTCCCTTAGTAGTACCTAAAACCCACTTAAAATCAGTAGCAGAGAAAACCCCATAAAAGAGATTGAAAACACTGAAAATAAAACATGGAATATACCTGATTTGATGTATTACTGTGAAGAAGATTCTTCAGCAGTTCAAGACAGTCCTGTTCAAGAACAATATAAGGACCCCATTAGAATTCACAGCATGCATGACTTAGCCGACAATCCCAGACTAAAAAAATAAAAACGAATGGTCCAAAGCAAATCAGCCAGAATAAGTTCACTAAACTTCAAAAAAAAAATTAAATGAATCACCTGCACAACAACACCCCCTTCAGAACCTCCTTCCTGCTTAATAATACTAAAAATCTTTTCAAATGCACCTTCGAAGACTACAATCTTTTGAATCTCCTGAAATCACAGAACTACCTTAGTTGGCATGGCAATCAAACATATGTAGGCAAGGTTAAGGTGTAAAATAAAAACTGAATGTTAAAGGCAGAATACGTGGAATAAGCAAACCATAATCTCACCTCAGCATCCTGAGTCAAGTAAGTAAGAAGCAGCACAGCTTCATTTTGTATGACCTGGAAGGTCAAAAGCGAAAGAAGACAAGCAACCACATATATCAAAATTATCCTATCCAAATTAAATTATCAAACAAGTTTCAAATTTTTCATTTTTCACTTTTGATGATGTAAATCCAACCGGTTCTTGAAGAGTCATATTAAACCATGCAGGCTTAAAATAAAGCAGAACATGAAATTTAAATAAATTTCCAGGATTAATCATTTGATTAAAAGGCTGAATACCTCACGGTCCATCAACATATCCATGAGCCTAGTTATACTGTGAGGAATTGATAGGATTGCTTCCTGTAACCTGAATAGGAACTCAGCAAGAGACTTTTGAACCGAAACCAATTAGAAACATCTACATAGGATAGAAAGGGTTTCTGTAAGACTCGTACCTCTTTTGAGAATTAGTAAGAAGGGCCGTCAAAATTTGAAGAGTGTAATATCGCACATAGAAATCCTCCTCTGACTACAAAATCACCAAGAAAGATGATAATTATGTTATTCCAAGAAGGAACTGCAGTAGAATGTAAAAAAAGTTCTGGATCCATATAAAGAACTCTAACCAGCAAACTTAGTAGAAGAGAAATGCTCTCTGATTCTTGGGAAAGCAAATCAGTATTCATTAAAGCTGGCTGAACCTCATTCGTAGGCCTTTTTGCATGACCAATTGGTCTCAAAGCACTAAGAACAGTTTCCAGGGCCCCACGAACCTGTAAAAAGGGAATGAATGCTAGTCAATCTTTTACAAATTTTCAGGAAATTCTCAATCAAAAAAGTTACCTTGAGGGATAACTTGAAACAACAATATTTGGACTACAACAAAAACAGAAATGCAATATTATTTCCCAGGAACAATTACCACAAAATTCTTTGGTCATAAGTAGGGAAGCAAACAGAAAAAAAGTAGGGTCATAAAAAAGCTAGCTCAAATAAAGGGAACAGACTCATAGAAACATAAGCACAGATCATACAGCTAGATTATCCAACTTTCAATCCAATCACTGGAGTACTGGACCCTTCAGTGCTTCAGTAATAAAACTAATACATAACTTGCAAACTACAAGTTTAGTTCTCAACTTTTATCCTCCTAGAAGACAATTTAAACATTAACTCATGAAATTTTCTTCCTGAAATGATTTTTAATAATTTTTCCTCCACAAAACCGCAGTCCTAAAAATGCGCCAAAAATATTCTTGATACACTGCATACTGCTGAACCAAAGTTCTCCAGAGGTACCATGCATGCATTTCTGGGAAATAGTGTATAAGAAATAAAGGAACAAATAGAGGAAACATAGCAAGAAAGGGAGATCACAAACCATTTCAACATCATTTTGTTCTCCCTTTAAGACACCCATGAGTACAGGAAAGCCTGCGAAAATGTAAATGCTAGCCTTACTAAACAAGAGAGAAACGGATGGCATGAATGGAAGAGGAATTTAGTCTGACGACTAGCTTTAAACAAGGTAGGAACACAAACCCATTGCTCCAAAAGCTAGCTGGGCGGTATGGCTTTCAGCCACAATAGACTGGAGCTCTGTAATAGCAGTCTTCCTGTCCTCAGCCAGGACACTATTACTAATCCGGTCAAGCAAGCGCTCAATGTAACTATTGACACACAAAAATAGTGAGTCCATAGCGAATTCGGTATTAAGAAAAGAAGGTAAACAGCAATTAGTTATATTCTTACCTATCTTCACTGGAACCAGAGTTATCATTGCCGAAAACAAATCCAACAACCCCCTACACAAGGACTCAAATTTCACACGCAATCTCAAAAGAAAGTCAACATTCACTTAACTCATAGTTAATGCACAACAGAATCCATTTAAGCAAGTATATAATATACAGGTATCACAAGATTAACCTACACGCTCATAAGAGGAACATACAACGTGATTTTAATCACGTTTCCGAGCAAATGAAGAGTCCAAACCGCGGTTCTCATAAGAAAGCCAAGAAGCTAATCAAATTTACACAGCTATTAAAACTAAAGGGTTGACTACATAGTATACTTGCTTATTTAGCTCATCTTGAACTAAAACTAAAGTGAAATTTCAATTTTCTAAAAAATCTAAAGCTTTACTCAGTAACATTAGCTCCAATCAACAAACAGAACGAAAGAAAAAGAACATTAAAAATCAAATAAATAAATAAAAACCTTGTAACCAGACTTCAAAACCATCTTCGAAGCTTAACAAGGAATGAAAATCCTGAAGAAAAAAGGAACGAAGATTTAAGAAGCAAAAGGTTCGAACTTAATTCATGGACTAAAAAAAATATGTGAAAAGACACCTGGAGATGATCGAAGTAAACCAAAAAAGAAGCAGATTGTCAAATTCAAGTCGGATTTTTGTTCGAGAGTGATTTCCGATTTTGAGCCTACGGAGAGAGAAAATAGTTTTACTTGACATTTGGGCCTTCCAAGGCCTTGTTGTCAAATTATTTTAGGCTTTGATAAGTACGAACAATGTTGGCTACTAAATTTATTCCTTCAAAATATGGATCGAACATGGACTTCAATAATTAAGATTTTATCTAGGTTGATTTATTTTTTTTAATTTTCTAATAAATTATTTTATTTTATTAGATCCATATATATAATATAATATAATATAGAACATAAAAAATTAAACTTATAATAATATAAAATGTTATCATATAAATATTAAAAAAGTGTTGAGTTGTTTATTTTTAAATCTTAATAAACATTCAATGAAAAACAGCATAAATTTTTAAAATTTATATATAAACGGGTGAGTCTAAAAGGGATTTGAATTGATCGTTTATTAATATGAATGGTTTTGATACTTTAAAACTTAATTTCAAATTAAGTCCAAGTCCTATTTGAACGAATATAAAATATATTAATATTAACTTTGAATAAAATAAAATAAAATATATTAGTATCATAAAAAAAATTAAAAAAAATGATACGATCCGTGAGTACTTCGAGTAGTGGCATTCTCCAAATTCACGTTAACAGAGTAGAATGAGAAATTCCCATGATTGTGAATCGTTCGAGTGCTTTTGGTTCCTCAATTTCATCCAAATAATAGGATTCCAATAATTAAATACATTATGCTCACATGACATTGGCTGTCGTTGTAGTATAGTTATGAGTATTCCAGTCGGTGTCATCCCTGCCAACGGAGTTCAACAGTTTTTTTCTCTCTTAAATTTTGGGCTAAGAAAACACTGGAATAAAATACAGGTTTTTTAATTGGGGGTAAACTACATATTTAATATCTTAACCATCACTTTTATTCTGTTTTGGTCATCTATTTTTTTTAATTATGCCTGGCGTTTAATTTCAGTTCCATTTTGATCATCCGCCGTTAAAAAATTAACGGTGAAAGTCACTATAAGATAACGATATGTAAACATTGAAAAATATAAAAATAAATTATCAAACGCGTAGATCTATTAATTTTTAACAATAAATGACCGGAATAACTCAAAATGTAACTTATATATGATTTAAAAAAACAATTAAATTACCAAAACAAAATAAAATTGATAATTACTGAACCTATAGTTTATATAACTTGACAAAGTGACAAGAACACAAACTGCATTTCGTCCAATTCAATGCCGAACTAAACAAAGCATATTCATTTTCAGTATTTGTTAGAGATTGATTTCTTTCGGAGTTCGTAATTATTTCTCCCATCACTTAAGGTGCACATTGATATTGCTACGTATCTTACTTGAATTTGAGAATTTGTGTAAGAAATATATATGTTTCCAAATATAATCAAAATTTTCTATATATTTAGACAGTATTTAAATAGCCATATCTTTTTGTATTCATATTTAAATATGTATCGAAGACGAATGTTGAAACTAACATAGATTCCCATCAATGCAACCCCTACCACCAAAAGTTCTTATCCATTAATGTAAAGTAGTATGCAAAGTTAATAGATTTTGAACTAAAATCGTCTGAATAATTTATCCATTTTTTTCTACAAATTATTATCATATCTACTCTATGTTGCACACGGGTGTTAGATATGGGTATCTGGATACGTGTTCGACTTAAGTGTAAACGTCTTTTCGCGTAATTGGAGAATTCTGAGAAATCCATAACCTCATACCTATTTGCCCATGTTTGAATAAATGTCGGTCACAAATACTTGAAGATGAAGAATCACGGTAACATAGAGCATACGTGTGTACATGTTTGAACGAGAGTAATGAGAGAGAGGACTGCCCTTTTGTACAGCTGCATTAACGCTTTTTTTCTGTTTATAACCATCAGTAAACGCTACAAGGTACTTTGGAGCGATGGCTAAGTCCTGCAAATGCAAACCCATAAACCGGAAAATTGTAGAGAAACAAAAACATATTATATATAAAAAAATTGTTTTTTTTCTCGTCTAATGCATAATCAGACATGATTTTATGATATGGTTGTCCAAAGATTCTCCGATGATCAATCTTGAGGAAGAAATAGATGGATTTGTTGGAAGAAAAGTCAAAGGGGGGCACCAGCTTGCTTGGTGGGGACACCGGCTTTGCTTGATATTTTTCAACAAAGGCAAAACATGGGCTGCTAACTAAATGGGCGGTTGAGCAAGTGGGGCGGCTTGAATTCATTGAATTTGAGCAATGGGATAATCACACATTTAATCATTGTATTTTAGGGTATTTTCAAAGATTAATCTCTAAGCTTCAACTATAAATACCCTAGCTCATTTAGCTTCAAAAGTATCCCAAAATCTTCCAGTTCTCTCTCAAGTGTGTTTTGTAAACATCTGTAATTTTTTCCCTTTAGTAAAAGATCTGCAACAGTCCGGAGACGTAAGCACAATTGGCTGAACTCCGTTATCAATTTTTCGGGTATTATTTTTCCGCTTTTATTTCGTATTCTCACTAATCTGGCTATAGGGAAATTACTTGTTACTCGTTTATTTCCCAACAACTGGTATCAGAGCTTTTGGGTTGTGAATTTTATCAATTTTTTGCGAGTTACTATTCATTACTATTCACATGAATAGTAAATTTCGTGAATAATGAAATTTGTCGGCGATACGAATTTATCGACGGAGGTGTTATAATACACAATGGTTCGCACAAATTGTCAGAAACGATCCGAAGAAGCCAGATTCGAGTGGGAGCGATGGCTACAGACGAAGGGAAGGTGAAAATTGAAAAGTTCGATGGTGCGAACTTTGGCTTTTGGAAGATGCAGATCGAAGATTTTCTGTACCAGAAAAATCTATATCAACCCCTCTCAGGAAAGCAACCAGAGGGCATGAAGAATGAAGACTGAGCTCTTCTCGACCGACAAGCCCTCGGAGTTATCCGACTGACGTTGTCTCGAAATGTTGCTTTCAACATAGCAAAGGAAAAGATCACAGCGGGTCTTATGGCGGCTCTCTCCAGTATGTATGAGAAGCCATCGGCCTCAAACAAAGTTCATTTGATGAGGCAATTATTCAATTTGCGGATGACGGAAGGGGCATCAGTGGCTCAACACCTGAATGAACTCAACACAATCATAACCCAGTTGAGTTCCGTGGAAATTGAATTCGATGATGAAGTTCGAGCTTTAATTCTCTTATCATCTCTACCATACAGTTGGAATGCTACTGTTACAGCAGTTAGCAGCTCGTCGGCAAATAGTAAATTGAAATTCGACGATGTTCGGGATCTGGTACTGAGCGAAGAAATTCGACGGAGAGAATCGGGTGAAGCATCAACCTCCTCAGCCTTGTACACGGAGTCCAGAGGGAGAACTTCAGAAAGAAATTCAAATCGTGACAGATCGAAATCCAGAAGGGGCAAATCAAGAACAAGAAAAAAAGATTTTACCTGTTATAATTGTGGCAAGAAGGGTCACTTTAAAAGAGATTGTCGAGCACTGAAGAAAGATATCAGTGCATAGGAATCTGCCAACATGACAGAGGAGACAGGTGATGCCATGATTCTAAGCGTCAACACTCCGATTGAATCATGAATCTTGGATTCAGGGGCATCTTTCCACTCCACCCCATGCCGAGAAATCATGGAGAACTATGTCAGTGGTGATTTTGGGAAGGTTCATCTAGCCGATGATGAAACCTTGAAGATCGTCGGAAAAGGAGACATCCGATTAAAGTTGCCAAACCAGACCACCTGGACGCTGAAAGGTGTAAGACATATTCCTGGTCTTAAAAGAAATTTGATTTCTGTTGGACAGCTTGATGGAGAAGGATATAGCATAACTTTTTCAGACTGTGAATGGAATATTACCAAAAGAGCACTCGTCATTGCTCGTGGTAAAAAAACGGGTACTCTCTATGTAACCTCAAATTTAGAGAATATCATTGCAGCCACAGATGCTAATGGAAAATCAAACCTATGGCACCAAAGGCTTGGCCATATGAGCGAGAAAGGGATGAAGACGCTTTTGTCAAAAGGGAAGCTGCCGGATCTAAAGAATGTAGATGTCGGACTATGCGAGGATTGTATCTTTGGCAAACAAAAGAAAGTCAGCTTTGCAAATATTGGTAAGACACCCAAGGCTGAAAAGTTAGAGTTGGTTCATACTAATGTATGGAGACCATCTCCAGTTCCATCTCTTGCAGGCTCATTATATTATGTCACCTTCATCGATGATTCTACAAGGAAGGTGTGGGTTTATTTTCTGAAGAAGAAATCAGAAGTCTTTGATACCTTCAGAAAATGGAAGGCCATGGTGGAAAATGAGACTGGTCTGAAAGTCAATCGGTTGAAGTCTGACAATGGAGGAGAGTACAGAAATAGGAGATTCAGAGACTTCTGCGCAAACAATGGGATCAAGATGGAGACAACAGTTCCCATGACACCGCAGCAGAATGGCGTAGCAGAGCGCATGAACAGAACTCTGAATGAACGTGCCAGAAGCATGAGGATACATGCCGGATTGCCCAAATTTCTATGGGCTGAAGCTATCAACACTGCAGCTTACCTGATCAACCGTGGGCCCTCAGTTCCTTTGGATGGCAGAATACCAGAGGAAGTTTGGAGCAAGAAAGAAATAAACCTTTCGCACTTAAGAGTGTTTGGTTGTATTTCTTATGTACATATAGACTCTACTGAAAGAAGTAAACTTGATGCTAAGTCCAACAAATGTGCCTTTGTTGGTTACGGCGGTGATGAGTTCGGTTACCGGTTTTGGGACTATAAAAATCGGAAGATCATCAGAAGCAGAGATGTCATTTTCAATAAGAATGTGATGTACAAATACATGTCAACTATAGAATCAAGCAGCTCCAATACCAAAGCTGAAACAAAGGAATTTGCTGAGTTCGAGGAGATTTATGGAAATGATGTTCAGATCAGTCCTGAAGCAGTTCAAGAAGAACCAGGCACACCGGAACTAAGACGCTCCTCCAGAATTCCTAAACCAACCTAACGGTATTCTCCTTCTTTGCACTACTAGTTGCTGACTGACAATGGTGAACCAGAGTGCTATGATGAAGCAATGCAAGTGGAGGATTCAGTCAAGTGGGAGTCTTCCATGAAAGATGAGATGGACTCGCTTATGTCAAATCAGACGTGGGAATTAGCTGAATTACCACCAGGCAAGAAAGCGCTTCACAACAAGTGGATTTACAGGATCAAAGAAGAGCACGATGGGAGCAAACGTTACAAAGCGAGATTGGTTGTCAAAGGTTTTCAGCAAAAAGAAGGTATTGACTACAATGAAATTTTCTCTCCAGTCGTGAAACTGTCTACTATCAGACTGGTGTTAAAAATTGTAGCTGCAGAGAATTTACATCTTGAGCAGTTAGATGTAAAGACAGCTTTCCTTCATGGTAATTTAGAGGAAGAAATCTATATGAGGCAGCCAGAAGGCTTCATAGAGGAAGGCAAGAAAAACCTGGTATGCAGGTTGAAGAAGAGCTTGTATGGTTTAAAACAAGCTCCTAGACAATGGTACAAGAAGTTCGATAGCTTCATGAGTAGCAGTGGTTTTACCATATGCCAAGCAGATCATTGTTGTTACATCAAGAGGTTCGACAATAGCTTCATTATTTTATTGTTGTACGTTGATACCATGCTCGTTGCAGGCTCAGACATGCAAGAGATTATAAACTTGAAGCAAAAATTGTCGAAGCAGTTTGCAATGAAAGATCTGAGTGCAGCAAAGCAGATTCTTGGGATGAGGATCAAGAGAGACACAAAGTCGGGGACTTTGATGTTATCACAGGCTGAGTACATCAACAAAGTACTCTCCAGGTTCAACATGCAAGATGCTAAACCAGTAAGTACACCTTTAGGTGTTCATTTTAGACTCTCCAAATAACAGTCACCAAAGACATAGGAAGAACGTGCACACATGGTGAAGGTGTCGTATGCCTCAGCAATTGGAAGTCTGATGTATGTCATGGTTTGTACCAGACCAGATATTACTCATACAGTGGGAGTTGTTAGCAGGTACATGAATAATCCGGGCAAAGTACACTGGGAAGCTGTCAAATGAATCCTCAGATATCTGCGGGGTACTACAAACAAAGCATTTTGTTTCAAAGGTGGAGATACGATACTGACAGGCTATGTAGATGCTGACTTAGCCGAAAATGTTGACATCAGAAAGAGCACTATAAGGTATGTCTATACTCTAGGAGGTACTGCAGTGAGTTGGGTTTCTCAACTACAGAAGATAGTTGCTCTCTCCACCACTGAAGCAAAATATGTCGCTGTTACGGAAGCCAGCAAGGAAATGGTTTGGCTCCAAAGTTTCTTGGAAGAGTTAGGCAAGAAACAAGAAAACAATGTCTTGTATTGTGATAGTCAAAGTGTTATCCATCTAGCGAAGAATCTGTCTTTTCATTCCAGGACGAAGCACATACAATTACGGTATCATTTTATCCGGTCTCTTCTGGAAGATGGGATTTTGAAACTTGAAAAGATTAGTGGAGCTCAAAATCCGGCAGATATGTTGACAAAGACGGTGACTACGGACAAACTGAAATTGTGTTCAGCTTTAGTTGGCATGCTAGAATAATAAGACCAGAAATGTTGATGCATTGATCAAGGTGTGAAGATAGATTAAAATCAGTCTTCAAGTAGAAGATTGTTGGAAGAAAAGTCAAAGGGGGGCACCAGCTTGCTTGGTAGGGGTCCCGGCTTTGCTTGATATTTTTCAACAAAGGCAGCACATGGGCTGCTAGCTAAATGGGTGACTGAGCAAGTGGGACGGCTTGAATTTATTGAATTTGAGCAATAGGATAATCACACATTTAATCATTGTATTTTAGGGTATTTTCAAAGATTAGTCCCTAAGCTTCAACTATAAATACTCTAGCTCATTTAGCTTCAAAATCATCCCAAAATCTTTCAGTTCTCTCTCAAGTGTGTTTTGTAAACACCTGTAATTTTTTCCCTTTAGTAAAAGATCTGCAACAGTCCGGAAACGTAAGCACAATTGGCTGAACTCCGTTATCAATTTTTCGGGTATTATTTTTCCGAAATTACTTGTTACTCGTTTATTTCCCAACATGATTTGTGTTCGAAAATAACACCGAGTCCAGAAAACATAGTTGAGATATACTAGAATAGGATAAACACACATATAACATGAAAGATGCATACCTCACTTGGCTTACCCCATAATCGACGAAGATATATATTCGATATAGGAGAAACTATACCAGGGGGAAGTCCTTCAGCACCCTTTGGATTTGTTGGAATCCATATCTGCCATAATTAAGGAATTACCAGTTTGTAATTGTTACATTAACCATAAATGGCAGACATGTCAGAAAATAAAGCAAAAGTCTGATCATATGCTTCAATAATCACACAATTTCAGAACAGTTTGAGACACTGTCATACTAATTCACGTAATTTAATGTCAACCATTCATAAATATATACATGCATACATATATTCACACACACACATATATGTACATAAAATGAAAAAGGAATTACCTTTGGTCGATTGATTTTGTTAGATGGCGCTGAGACAACCATATGAGCCTTGAAAGAATTCACAGCATTGAAGAGTGCTTGAGTTGAAAGAATAATGGAAGGAAATACGGTGGATGGGAGATTCATCTACCAAAGATTCAAATGTAATGAAATAAAGTTGTCATTCAATGTTGAAGAAACACATGAAAAGTGAATTAGAAGCAACTACAAATGTAATGAAACAGTGAGAGACAGACCAGAGTGTAACCTTAGCTGAAAGATTTGGTAACATTAGTCCTAAAAAGAAGCCAAACATAGCTCCAGCAAATGTTGTTAAAATCAGCCTCATTGCCTCAATTGGTTTCCTTACATTACCACTGCAATCCAAACAGACATGAACCAAGCAAAGATATTTATGTTCTTCCTAAACCAGAAAATGCACCCAAAAAATCTACATTAACATCAAATCCCAAGCTAAAACAATTCCCGGTTAATCCATTGACCATAAAAAAACATGGAACTTTGGAAACAAAACAGTGAAGAAAATTAAACATTAAAAAACAAACACAAAGTTCATTCCACTCTTCGAGAAATAACATGATCTAATGAGAATAAAAAAAAAACATGCTTCGAACCAAAGCGACAATTCTCAATCTGGGTTTTCCCTGAAAGGCTGGGTTCAAATGAAAAGTTCGAATCTTTGGGAATCAAAATCAATCACCCGCCTCAAAATTTGTCCCTGGCTTTATAGCTAATTGTTTAAAGATTTCGATACATATTTTTTAAAATCACGTCGAAGTTACTCTTCTCTTAGACACTTGATTTGATCGATTGAAATTTGGTAAATGTTATCAAAAGGTTAGCGGAAATGGAAGTCTTGTAACATGGAATCCATGTTTAGATTTGTGAAACCCCATGTTCTTTTGTTAATAAACTATACTCATAATCATTTATAATTATAAAAATTCCATTAAATTACGTTTCAAAAAAATTACATTAAATTAAATTATTTAATTACTTAAACAATATTAACCAAATTATATATTATTAACATTTACCAAAAAATAAAATTAGGCTACAATACAAATGATCCTCCGATTATAAAATGTTACTTTATTGAATTATATGATATTAAAAGTTATGAAATGAGACATTGTTTTGTTGAGTTTTCCGACTATTAAAAATTATAAAATAGTTACCCGACATTCATATGTTTCAAACTCGTCATTCTCTGTAAAATTGAATACAGTATGAGCTAAATGTTAACTTGTTGATTGTTATATGATAAAATCTGATTCCAAAATCTTAAATGATTATCATATCTCAGTTAACTAGTTAACGTCTATCTTAGACTCTCATCAATTTTTTTAACAAAAATGGACGAGTTTCAAACATATGAATAGTTGAATGATCATTTTGTAATTTTAATAGTCGATGACTCAACAAAACAACGATGTATAGTTGAGTAACTATTTTATAACTTTTAACAATCAGGACTTAAAAAAACATCCTATAATCGAGGAATCATTTATGTATTTTACATAAAAGAATAATATAATATATTTTTATTAATTTAAGGAGATTATAATACAAAATAATATAATAATTTATAAAATTATTATTTTTAATTAATTTAGAGTAAATACAAAATAATATTTGTTTAAAAATAACTTTTAATTATTTAAAATTAAACACTAAAATTCATAACATTCATCATGTTCGAGTCTAAAATATCAAAAAAAAATATCAATTTCTTTACGTATTTTATTTTTAATACTTATACATTCGATCAAACAAGAAAGATCATTTTGTTTTTGTAACACTCTATCGATTAGTTAATAAACTAAATATAATTTAATTATAATTTCCACGTGTCGAATTGACGCAATACCAACAAAACATGGATGAAAACAAAACAAAACAAAAAATCAAAATTATCCACCGATTTTTATTTTCTTTTTTCCTTTTCTTTCAACATGATAATAGATTTCGATATTAAAATGAAATGTTATTATTGTATTGATTTTTAATTCAAACTTTGTTTGAAAGAGGAAAAAGAAAAGGTAAAACTAAGGATTGAATGAAGTAATCTGGCGAAACAGACAACGTTGTATTTCCGACGAAAATAGGAAATAATATTGAACGATGTCGTCGCCGGACATTGCTTCAATCTTGGAAAACTCGAGGGAACTCGATCGGTTGAAGAAAGACCAAGAGGAGGTGCTTGTTGAAATCAACAAGCTTCACAAGAAGCTCCAAGCGAGTAATTTTTCTCAACTTCATTTTATCCCTTAAGCTTCAAATTTTATGATCTTGGTTTGTTCTATATTATCAAAATATGGGTTTTTAACGCTTTTGAGTTGTTTGGCTCTCTGGGTTTTTTTGTTTTTTTTTTACAATACTTTTTTAGGTAGGTTTAGTTTTAAAAGAGGTTAAAGCTCGTTGATGATGGATTTTATTGGATAAGGGAGTTATTTCCGTTATACATTATTATTGCCGATTGTTTTCATTTATGATTCTCTTTTTGTTTGTTTATTGAAGAAAAAAGGACAGGAGTAATGTGATCAAATAGGAAAGGAATAGTTTTTCTTTGTAGTTTGACCCGTGACCTGGTTTAAAACTTAACTTGAATCTAAGTTGTGGTTTAAACTTTATAGATAGCAAGTGTTTAAGGTAATTTCGGTGCGAAAATTTTGCCTTTTTGATTGAAAAATATGCCATTTACCTGAAATGGCTGCTCAGGGTGCTAAGTTTTCATGGAGAAGGAAATTGTGTTGTTTAACTCATTACATACTTGTAAATCCATATTGAGAGTGGTTGGTTTTGTATGCATGTAGAACAATTTATAATTACCTTGTAGCCAGTGAGCATTGAAATATCCCATTTAGTTGCTTTAATTCAGATTTCATTATATCATATCATAAACCTGATCCTGATATCTATTTTGCAAAAATGTTTTGATTGATTTAGTTGAGAATGTTAGCATGAAAGAGGTCCGGATTCAGAATATTCGAAAAATTTAACAGCTAATTGTATTTAATTGCAACAACACAGTAAATGAAGAACTTTGTTGTCGATTCATTGGGGTTTAAGGTTGATCTGTGGTTTCTTGGATTATAGAAGAAGTATCATAGAAGGAATTTTGAGATCCATAGTCATTACCAGTTAAAAGCTATATTTGGAATCCACACAGGATGCATCATTTTGAATCTTGGGGAATCTATCATAGAAGTGATTTATTACACCTTTAATGGTTAGAAAACTTGCCGAAACCCCCTGGATGTAAATGATTAAGTTTTATTTTATCGACTTAAGAGTAGTTTTCTTTCTTGTTTTACTTTATTTTTCATGTTCTTTATTAGTTGTTACTGATGGTTTTTGCTAATTTTGAACTTTTTTATACCTATGAAGCTCCCTAGGTAGTTGAGAAACCTGGTGATTCTTCATTATCAAGGCTAAAAAGTTTATATATTCAAGCTAGAGATCTTTCAGAGAGAGAAGTAGCGTACACCCATTATCTCTATTTAAGACTTCTATCATTTTCTTTATACTTAGCGATGAACTTTCTGGTTTGGTTCGGCAGGACTTACATGATTCTGATCTCCCTATTCAGTCGTTTATGAATATCCACTGTTTTGGCATTGATACAGGATTTCCAGCTCGTTACTAGGTCAACTTGACACTTTTCTGCCATCTGGACCTCCAGGACATCAACGGAGAAAAATGGGTGCGTGCTACCCACCATATCTGTATGAGACATTTTGGTTGCTTTTCAACATCTGTATCGAGATCTCTCTTTTCGTGACGATATTCAGGGATCTTAATACTTGCATTCTTATAATGCTTAGGTTAAGGTCCTCTCGTGACCATCTTGGCAGTTGGCTGAACTTATTAGTAAACTTGCGGAAGCATTCGCTTTAGTTATGTAGCAGTTAAAGAGGATATTAAGATATAGCTGTAATTTTCTGCAGTTTGATTTTATCCGGCTTATTCTGTTTCTCTCTTTCCTAGACTCGGCAATTAGTTGAAACTATGAAGTGTTTATGATCTTTCCATTCTTTCGGATCTAGAAGGTTGAATAGCATGTGGCAAAACAGAAGTCATTTTCATGTGTAGATTTGAGATGCTAGAACGACCTAATCTGAACATCCTATTTATGTAGCTAACATTAAACAAATTGCAGATGGTACTGATCAGAAAAGGAAAAGAATGAAATCTGACTCAGATATCTCTCGTATTTCTCCTTCTATGCGGAGTCATATTGAGGCTTGTGTTAGTCTCAAAGATGAACAGGCAAGCTTGTAGACCATAGTGGTCCATGCAGCTGTCACAATTTATTTGATTGTTGTTTTTTGTTCTTGGACCTAATTTACTTTTCCTTCCCTCTTGTACTCAGGTAGCTGCAAGAGTCACCTCGGATGCTGAGAAGGATGAGTGGTTTGTTGTTAAAGTAATAAATTTTGATGAGAAAACAAAAGAGTAAGTACGGTTCATATAGGACATTTCATTTTGGCTGGTGCGAGAATTCCATTTAGAATCCTTTTTTATTCTTGTTTGTAAGTTGAATCTCCATTTGCAGATTTGAAGTACTCGATGAGGAGCCAGGTGATGATGAAGAGGGTGGTGTCCAAAGGTAAGCTTTTATGCTTCATTCTATATCTTTTTTGTTCATATTCATTACTTTTTGGTCCAGGGGACCACCATGTTTTATTTGTTATGATGATTGAGACAGAAATTTGCGATCATATCAAGGGTTCAAACTTCTTATTTCTGTTTTTCAATATTTTATATGGCTGGAATTAGTTGATCCAGAAAATCTCGATTTCTGTTATTGCGATTTCAGGAAGTACAAGCTGCATGCATCTTGCATTATACCGTTCCCCAAGCGGAACGATCCTTCTAGTACTCAAGAATTCCCTGCTGGGAGACATGTTTTGGCCGTTTATCTGGGAACAACTGCACTCTATAAAGCAACTGTCATCAGTACACCTCGAAAGGTGACTACGCCGGTCATCACCGTCATCATTCAATACCCAATATATATACTTTTGGATTATTTTGTGTTGTTTATGTTCTTTTATACATTTGCTAAAGCAATAAACTAACTATGAATCTTCGTGTACATATTCGTGGGGGTTATTCAACGTATCTTATCTTTCCAGAGGAAATCAGATGAGTAAGTAACATCCTCCATTCCGGCGACTAAAATCCAGTGTTGTTTTTCCCGTTTGTGTTCTCATTTTGTTAATCTTCCCCATAAAACGGTATAATTATTATTAGTAATAATAATCTATAATTTGTTATGTTGCTTGAATGCATGGCCATCTTTTTCGTTATCATTTAGGTATTTACTGGAATTTGATGATGATGAAGAA